GTATGACCTCTGAAACGTTGGTTAACATCGACCAGACTACACAGCGCAACAACCCAGAAGACAGAAATCTTCCTTATCAGATTTCTGCACACCTGGGAACCCCTAGTTCTTTCTACATGTCCATTCGCCAACTTTGAGCAAATAATCGATTAGTTAGTTGGTAAAAGCCTAAGAACATCAGGCGATTAGTGAATGACCGTGGTCTGGTACAACGCCAAATGCAAAACCAGACGCGAAGTTTAACTTTTAGACATTGAAATGTGATATCTCAAGACATTTTTCTGGAAGATGAGGTAAAGTTTTAAAACACTCTGTATTATTAAAGCCGGCTGGTATTTTTGGTTGTTGTTTTCTACGCAGCACAGACACATGAAAGGGGAGTGGATAAAGGCACGAAAAGGTTTAAGGAAATGATAAAGAGGTGTGAGGAGTGGAGATGGGAACGAAATCATCCCGCGCTAAATTTCAACAGGACTCTTACCCCAGCTTAGTTATAAGCATTGTCAAGTAAATGATACGTTAAAAGTGATTGTGATTTTTCTAAAGAAAATTAACTGATGGAATATTATGAATATATTACGTATCTTCATTCAGTGTCATGTGTATTATGAATACAAACCGAACAATTTGTGCTCAAAGTTAGAGGAAACCTGCGTTTATCTGGAAAACTGTCTCGATATTTTAAAACACTAGAGCAACGATCTGATGTTTTACTTCTTTACGTCGCTGTTCAGAGGCCAACTGTTCTTGGTCAGTCAACTTTCTACGTCCAACCCCACCGTTGCAAATATTCGTCTGCATTTTTTTCTCTTCTGTTCCTGTTGAATAATTTTTTATACATTTATTAATGTTAGTCTTACTTCGCTTTCCTTCATTTGTTAAATAGGTCTGATGTTGTAGTTCTTTACGTCGCTGTCCAGAGGCCAACTGTACTTGGTCAGCCAACTATCTACGTCCAACCCCATGAATGAAAATGTCACTCTACATAGAGAAGTACGAAAACGTAACGTTGAATTTCATGTAATGTAAAAATAACATTAACATTTAGTTTGAAGCTATTTCTCGCTGTGTTTTCCGTTCGTAAAGTACAAACCCGCTTTGGTTTCGTTTCGTGTAAAAAAGGCTTGCCTATTTCTTGTCGTTTCGGAAGTAGCCAGAATTTAATATGCTCTGGTACGCATGTTATAAAATTCAAGTCATCTCATGCATCGTGGACCCATATTTATTGTGGTAATGATTATTTGGATTACATACATTACAGTATAGTTCCCAATAACTAGTACTAATATAAATACTACATCAAAACACCACAGTGAAACTATTCAATTTGTTAGCCTTTCATTTAACCCACTACCCTTTCACCAAATTCATTCATCCGAGTGTTATTTTAGCATTCGCTGGTAGGTTTTATATCAATGTTAGTTTGTTAATGACCACAGATCAAAAATAGTTTCTACTGCAAGTAACTGCTTACATAGAAATGACAAAAATGAACAATTTAAACAGTGAAGACTGTTGTCTATGGGTCGTAACGCCGTCTAGTCTGATACAAGTTTACCGACGTTTCGGAGGTTCTTATCGCCCTGATTTTGGCAACATAAGTACCTCAGAAACGAAGTTCTGTGCGTGATTGTGGCAGTATTCAGGTATTGCTCTAAAACCCAGGGAAAGGTTGTCAAATGATGAAGCGTACAAAACCAGAAAAGCAAATATAACAAATGCTACATAGAGTCCTGCAGTGAAAGAATGGGATTTACCAGATATTTATATGAAAGTAGTCAGCCTTTGAAATTAATTTCAGTATTCATGGGCAGAGGGCTCTGTGGAAAGAAAACAAAATGGCGCATTAGTCAGCTCGAATTTGCGTCACAATTACACAGACAGAAAACCGAGAAAAATTAAGTATCCTTACTGTAAATAACATTCAGACGTTTTGTAATTGGTAAAATTAATTAATTGTGAATAAGAAGAATTGATGTAGAGTAATGAGGTATTTCTGAACTAGAAAGTCTACAAATAATTATAAATAGCCCGTAGTATGAATATGTTTACTCTGATTTAATTACTTCATCAATACGACCTCTATAGTTGGTAGGACTAGACAGAAATAATTGTTATGTCTGTCAATCTGTTTATGTCATTAACTGAAGTCAATGACGTTCATTTTTATTAGACTCAGATGTCTTACGCATTCTCTGTATTGATAAAAGTATAACTTTATCTTATCTGTGATTGGGAACTAATGCAGTCATTACTTAAATTGACGTTACAAATTAGCTCTTCAGAACGTCATACGTGCTTAACGTGATTGATCGAGTCAGGGATTATTATTACTTCTATTGATCATTGAACACACGAGATGTATTCCTCGCATACTTGCATTCGTCGTGGGTTTAACGCGCAGTGAATGAAAAGATGGCGGCTAAGCGTAACAGTATCGCCCTTACCGACGATCACCAGGGCATAATTACAAATCCTAAATTGACAGGAACGAGTTAAGAAAGACGATTAAACATACAGTATTTTGAACCGGTCATCCCATTTGATTCAACATGTAAATGAATTGACTTGAGATTGTGAATTTTATATTTGGATGGAATAAAATTATATAACCTTAGATGGGATTAGTAAGTTAATATTTGTGACCACAATGTCAGTGGTTGTAGTATACGACGTAGACCACCGCAAATATAAGTGCCCAGAATATCCCTCATCTCTAGCGAAAAATATTGGCAGACGCTGTCATAGTTCAAAGAATTGAGGCGAATATTTTAGTGACTATGTGATGGCAATGGTTGGAAATAGAGGTGACAAATTTTGACGACCAAGTGGTTAGGAGAAGAAGTAATAAAAAGACGTTTCGGCGGCGACACAATTACGAAAGGAGATGATGCAAAGGTGGAGAGTAACCACGTGTTTCACGAAAAGACGAAGGGAAAATTTAAGTAGTCAGAAAAGTTGATGAGAGGAGGAAGGTGGTTCAGAATGAAGAAAGGTAAAAGTGTTAAAGTAAGAACTTGAAAGATAAAGGTGAAACTAGGGTCACACGGACAGCAATCAGTGGGTGTTCACTGGAGACATTAGTTGTTGGGGAGTCTTCGAGACGTAAGTGAAGGCAAGAGTTCTTCATCGGCATCGGTCTTCAGGTCTGAGTTATTGTAGGTGAATTTTCATTTTGTCGGCTTTCATGCTGATGCAAAAATATATCATAGCCAATATCCATACAACACAGGAATCAGTCGTAATAACAAAACACTACCAAACGTATCATAAAATTGCTGTAAGGATAACAAGCATTCTACTTTACTGCATTTCCCATTAAATATCATGTTATTATTAAATATTGTAGACAGGTACAGTCCGTGCAAACCTTCCTTCACCCCTGCTCTTTCATTTTTACTCCCTTCTCAATCATCGTCCGCTTTCTCGTTTCCCCCCCAATCGTCCGTCTAACTCATCACAGAATTTGTGTCCATCATCTCATTCCCTAACCACGTGGTCGCCAGGACTTTTAAATCACTTTTTTTTTCACTAAGTGGTCGCAAAAGTTTGTATAGCTTCTTTTCCTAAGGACGTGACCACAGAAACGTTTTCCAGTTCGCTGAACAAAGTGGTTGCACCCAATTCGAAAGACGCCCAATCCTCTGCTCGAGCAGTTAACTTCAATAGCCGCCGGTTAAGTCTTGTCTGTTCTATGATGAACTACGTATGTTCGATCCCAAGGTCCCCTCTTCACAGCCGTGATCGGAATTTGTAAGTGTTGCAATCGAAGTGTCTTTACATTGCGATTAACGCACCCTGCAATGTTAGCAAGAGACAAATTCACGAGGAATGATGGAATCAATTTTAAGCCGGCCACACCAGAACATCAAACGAGACCTCGGACTAAAAAATATCGGATGTGGTTATACCCTTTGTTCGGCAACTTGGAAGGAACTTCTTCGTACAGAAGGTACACACGGTTAACCTAGGAAGGCTGACGTTTAGCAGGCCTGCAGAGGCAGCCACGTCAACGCGACGATTAGTGTCTAACAAATTTCGGTTGCCTTATCTGACGTTTTTCATTTATTTCCTGGGTTATCGAACAAATACTAGGGTATGTTTAAAAATTTGTGTGATCCGCCAACCCCAGTAATGGAAGACGTCAACCAAAATGATTACTCCACCATCGTTGACGCAGAGGCCTTCAGCCAAAGCGATCCAAAAGACACGCTCAGTAGTCAATCTTTTTTACAACAGAGGCCCATTATTTAATATTTTATTCATAGGTGCTCGATGTGGCTTCTACGAGTGACCCGGATGCAACCTCGACCTTACTCTACTTAACATAAATTCAACGGGACTCTTTACCACGACACGGATTCGGTTTGGCAGATTCCTGAAGGAAACTAACTTTGTATTTGGTTTTTGTAGTTTAGATGCGTCATGTTTGTGTTGAAATTCAGTATATATAATAATTAATAATTCGAATGTTAATTAATTGTTTCACAGAATAATGAACAACTGACCAAAAATATGCAAAACATTACGAAGTTCAAAAGTAATACCTACAAAAAGAAATCTACAAAACAAATAAAATCAATAAATGGTTGCATTAATAAATATATATTAGTTTTAAAGATGAAAATAACAATAAAAAACCTGAGGATGATGCAATAGCATCGAAACATGTCGTAAAATAATAAGCGCTGAAATGTAACATCGTAATAATGATGAAAAGCGCTAAATTTTAATTTTAATTTTAACAACAACATTTAAAAATTAAAATTAAGTTTGTGTATAGACTGAAATAATAAATAAATATATACTGTTTGTCCTTGGCATTTCAGGCGAGGTGCGGTGACCATTTCGTCTACCAGAAGCGTACGTCTCGGCCAGTCGGTAAGTAGCCTCTGTCTCTCAGTTGTGCAGTGAGATCTTTTTTTGTTAGTTAGATTGAGTTTAATGTGAACGCAGGTCGTGTTGTATTAGAACGTTATGTCTTCATCTAGGTGGGCGTTGATTGCACGAGGAATTCTTTACAGCTGGAAGAGATTCGGTTGTGTGTGTGTGTGGCTGTTTACAGTTTGTATTTTATTTTGAAAACATCATTGCAGTGTGATTTGCCGAGAGTCACGGATGGGAATAATTACAGGAAGTTATGACTTGATTATTCCTTAATTTTATCACTTTAGATTAGGGCCAATGACTTTCACGCACGATGGTACAGTTGGTTTTACGTCACTGATTTGCAGCTTAACGATACTGGAAGTAACTACGTCATTCTGTTTTAGTTTAATGAGTCAAATTGACGTCCACATTGCGTTGTAATATGTGATTTGTACTTGGTTTAAGTCAATTAGATTTGTAATTTGTTACTAGGATTCCATGAATGGTTATAACCCGATAACTCTAATGATTTTTATATTGGGTATTGAAGTCAGTTCATCTTATTCTTTTAAGTGAAAGGTTTGAGGTTTAGGGGATACTTCCCAGTCACACTCAGAACTTAGGTCGCTAGCTCTAGGTTTTTGATAGCCAAATTTATAATGGAACTTACGTGTACTTTTAAATATCTCCGGTGAAGCCTGGCTTGTGGGGGGTACGGTTGCTAGGTTGTGGATGGCGACTACTGCTGAATTAGCGAGGTCTGGTAACTTTGTGGTCGTGCTTTCCTCCTGTACCTCCGCGTCTTTGGGTTGCTGTGCGTTGGATTCCAGCAGCTGTATCTCGCCCCGCTCCACCCCCGGACCTGGGGTGTCGTTCGTAGGTAACGTCGTCACTGGCACTGGCGTTGTCGTCACTGGGGGCGGTGGCGTAGTGTTGGCGCGGCGTCTTGGAAAACTGTACTTCCTCACCCGACCACGAGAATCGTCTAATGACCCAATAAAATGAATTATTTTAGGTAAAAAAATTTTATCAGTAGACCATTGCAAGAGTGTTGTACGAACACGAGGACGGTCCGCGGGTTGAGAATCATTAATACAGAACATTCAGTGGTAGTAAAATTGAAAGTATTATGGCGATATCATAGTGCTTTATGTGCTGAAATGAGCCAAAATATCTTCCTCCAGAAATGTTTCTCATTTATCTTTAGAATTATTCTCCAACTTTATCTGATTCAAAATGTTAATTGCCAATTAAAGTAGCAACCTCTGGTGCCTTGTGGGCCCTTCCGGAGTGACTCGCCTCGACATACGATGCTACATATAGTTGATAGAGCATCGTGCAATAACCGCGTAAGTATTCGGCGTGTCTTTAAGTATTCCACGTTCCCTTCTTTCAAACTTAACTTTATTGCAGTCATCGTCTCCAGTTGATACAGAATATTTAAATAAACTAGGCACCAAAGAGCACTTGTAAGTAGCCACTGGGGTTTGTGGTTCACTTGCCAGTAATACTGTTTCATAATCGGAAGGACCTGGGTTTAATCCTTGCTCCTGATTTAAAACATTTTATGTTCAAAATTTTGCTGTCTTTTCAGACTAATGCTGGGCGAATACTTAAAATAGGGCATGACAGCTTCTTCCTATTTCATCATTCACAATTATTCTCCCATTTTTCTCTATATAGTACATATAATATTTCTGTGTATTAAGCAGTGTTAGGTTGGTGACAGTCTGCTGTCGTAGAGGAATTTTGTGCGTTGTGTTATATTTAGGAATGTGTTACCGTTGCCATGGTATGGTGATAATTTATTGTTAAGGAATTTTTGGGCTTTATAGGATAATATTCGTTGCCATGGTAACGCTGTTAAAGGAGGCCTACTATGTATGGTTATTTTAACCTCGATATAAGATAATATTTCAGATTGTGGCTTGTGAAATCTTATTACATTCTTTAAATTAAGCAAAGTAATTCATTGTATTCTTTCTGTTATTACACAGCATTTGTTGATGTTTATTTGTGGAAATATTTATATGAAACAAAAGACTATTCACTAATCCTCTGGCCTCCATTATGCACGCTTTTCTATAAAACGTGGCACAACAAATGTTTAAGTCTTAAAGCTTGCGATCTTTAGTAATAAAGGAATGAATATTATTTCAATTTTTATGTGCTGTGTCCTTAAACCTTTTATCAAACCGCGTTTTAACGCAAAACTTTATATTTTCTCATCATACTTGACTATAAATTTTCTTAAAATATTTAATATTTAAAAATAACCGTCAATCACAATAAAATTAAAAGATTAAAAGATTAAAATATCATATTATGTTCCCTATCGAGTACTCGATTTACATATGGAACTTACACAACATGTTTCGGCTAAATGTAGCCATCTTCTGGTGTATTATATATAAACTTTTTACTGAATTACTTTTTACGATTTTAATGATTTTTAATGATTTTTCTTCTGATGTTTTCTGTTAATAATATAGTCAAATCAAATAAATTTTCAAGTCACTATTTGGTTTTATCCTTTTTAATAGTCTCTGCTGGAGTGTACATTATATTTCGATCCTACCCCATGGCAATCTCTGTAGATGAAACAGCGTCTTTAAATGCTAAATCCACTGAGCAGGTACCTTTGTCTGTGGGAGCGTCCGAAGGCTGGGCATCGGACGCCGTGGCGTCACTGTCTCTCGTTTGATTGGCGGATGGACCGTACTTCCTACGCCGGACGAGTCTGGTTCCGGGTTTTCGGCGATCCTTTTCAGACTCCGTTGAACTCACGGGCGTCTCTGTCGTTGTCGTCGTCGTCGTCGTCGTCGTAGAGCGCTGACGCAGTCGGTTAGGGTTATATAATGCCCCTGTAGGACGTCGCAGATTTCGCGTCGTCGTGGTGACCACCTGAAGAAACAAAACACAGTCGTAGTTCTTTCTCTGTTTTATGAAATCGTGTGGGTGTTTTTCAGTTATTTAATTTGTTAATAAGGAAATACTATAAAAGTTTATTGAACACTTTTGTTAATTATGTCGTCTACGCTGTTCACCATAGGCTCATTTTTTTTCACAATGCTGTATCTACTTATTAAAAGAAGTGGTTTATTGCTATTGTATGTAAATCCCGCCCTCACAGGCCTAATTACCTGGAGAACTTATTCAATATATTTAATGCAGAAAACATTTCTACCCACCGTAAATTAGTTGCATCGAAACCGTATATGATTTAATGCATATAGCAATCACCATGTGTGGCTAAGGCAGTAAACCACTCAGAATGTGTGTATATGATATGCATTCGTTTTTAAAAATTGAAGAATTCATAATTATTATAAATAATAATAAATGTTTGTTTCATGTGACTTTTACGAGTCGATTAGGTTAGGTTTACCGAACAAGACTCAGAAGACGTTCTCACGCCTGCAAATTTCCACTCTGGACAAAAGAGAGTTAACTCAGTTTCATGTTAACGGTTGTTACTAACTAAAATATGTCAAGTAGAATGTCGAAATTTTAATGTTTCCCCTAAATGAGGCAACACGACCGACTTACCTACTTATCGCTTTTTACGAAGTACAGTGATATACCGGTAAACACATATTACTCGTCTCTCTCAAAACTAATGTCAGTTGAACTAATTTCTACAGCGGGAAATTATTTAATGTAATGGCATTTCATTGATTGTTAATATAGCGCGTTTAATTTATCATTCTGATGTTTCTCTATAGACATGACGGTTCTCTGGTATGCATTTCTGCAAAGAAGACTCTGATAATCGAGCCTCTGCTTTGTATCCATCCTAATTAATGTGGAGGATGTCACGAAATTTAACTTGGCTTAAATTTGTTGTGTTCTTCATGATTTTGCCTTCGATTCTTTTATAGCTGGGAATAATCAGTGTAATTGTATTATATCCACCGATATTTCTGTTACGCTGTTTTTTCCTCGTCGAATAATTTATTTTTTTACACATAATTGCACCAGAACGAATTAGAAATGATATATTCGTTTGAATCATTCAGTGCTTATATCCTGTAATGAGATTGTGTTCCTTAGCAAAGCAAAACATATGCTATGCATGTGCTTGGTGGGGACATTGAGATTTTGCGTGATAAAGATGGTTGTCTTCTGGGTTGTTGAGCCGTATAGTCTGGTACAATTTTACCGACGTTTCAGAGGTTCTTGCTGCCATCATCGCCGTGGTGATGATGGAGGCAGCAAGGACCTCTGAAACGTCACTAAACTTCTATCAGACTACACGGCGGAACAACCCAGAAGACAACCATCTTAAAACTCACGGCCAAGAAAACCTCAAATCCTGCATAAATATTGAGTGATATCTGCTCTCTCTCTCTCTCTCTCTCTCTCTTTTCCCTGTCTGACGACAGGTCCATATGAACAGAATCCTTCCATCCTTTTCTCGGACTGGGACCTGTTCATATACGTTCTTGGCAGATAATCCAGAAGTGGTTTGCCATTGCCTTCTTCTGTGTGTGAATGGAGTAATTGTTGGGATGCCACGGAGGGTCCATATGAACAGGATCCTTCCCTCCTTTTCTCGGACTGGGACCTGTTCATATACGTTCTTGGCAGATGATCCAGAAGTGGTTTGCCATTGCCTTCTTCTGTGTGTGAATGGAGTAATTGTCGGGATGCCACGGAGAAACCGGGGAAGAAGCCCCCGGAGGAAAACTCCGTGGCATCCCACTGCTTACACATACGAATATTTAACATTAGCTGAAAACTCTTTCAAAATAAAGATAGCATGCAATTACATCGTTAATAAAACTAGCAGACAATGTAGGCCTACATTCAGAAACATGTAAGACAGATGCCCCTGACAAAAAAACTGTTAGTAGTATGAATAGCCTATATGGTTACACCACACACCTTTGACGATGAGGTGCGTATGTTTTAGTTAAGAGAAATCGTCATGACGAAGGAAGTGCATTAAATGTAAAATTGCAGAAACGAAATACAGGAGGAGGGCACTGATGAGTTTGCACATCTGAAAATAAGCCTGATTGTTAAAGCGCAAATAGTAATAGCAGAGAGTTTATCGGTCCGTCGTCAAATGATCGTGTATTCTGTCTATCAGTTGCATGTTCTTTCTGAAGGAGTCTGTCGTCTGATTTTCGTCCAACATTTATCCAGCCTTCCCCTTGATTCTGTGTTAAAGATAAGGCGTACTATGTTATGCTACGGAAGGAGAAGACAATAGAATGAGTATAGCTGTTGCCATTCTTGTTAGCAAAAAAATGAGTTATTTCTACAGTTGCGAAAAATTGCTGTTATGTCCCATCGTTCACTGACGGTGGTTGCAAGCTGTTAACATGCCGCTAGCTGACAGCGACGTTAGTTTGCATTTCGTGAGCTTCCAGTTGTCCTACCTCACTCTGTACTAGAGGTTCCTCAGTGGTAATTTTCGGTCGTTTTCTCCTCACCAGACGTCTCGTCTTGCCTTCGGGGCTAGAGGATCCAGGCTTGACCCTGCCTGTGGCTGCTGGTGAACCTAAAGATTGTTCGTCTCCGGGCTCTGATGCTAAATCAACACTGGGAATGAAAAAATCTCTGTGACCCGGTCTCGAGGATGTATTTATAGTAGCCTCAGATTTCTCATGGTAAGTTCCCTCAGTATGACTTTCGTTCGGGAACTCTACTGCAGAATCCAAAACACTGTAATGAACCTCTTCGGAAGCTGGCGGTTTATAAATTGAATTCCTTCCTAAATCATAGTTAGAACCGTCAGTACTTAAGTCACTGTCTGCGATAATACTTTGTTCAGAATCGTGCGAGGAAGTTTGGAAATCGTATGAAGAGTCATGAAGTGTCACGTTATTTACGATGATGGTGTTCGTAATGGCGGCAGATTTATTTTTCTGAGTCTTGCGGGAGATTGCTATACTATTAGGATCGTTTACGACGGAGGGCGTCGCCATGTGTTTACCTTCTCTGACACCAGTGGCTGCAAAGTCACCGACAGAGCCTACGCTCGTCACTTCGTAATGGTCTCTTCCTAATAAAGCAGCTGTAGCGAAAGTAACAACCGAGTTATTTTCAGGATTACTGCTGGAAACATCTGTCTCTGCAGGCGAGTTTGTGAATTTGGTTTCATTCTGTGTCGCTTGAAGATTATTCCAGGAAGGCGTTTTCTCTTCACTCTTTGGTTCTGTCTGTGTCTCCGGAGGGGCCAAGATGTGCGTGACGGGACGTCTGCGTCTCTTCTTAACTCGCATTCTGTCACCGTGCCAGATTCCAGTAGTTGTGGACGCGATGTCACTCGATTTGGTAGAAGGCGGTGTTACGGACTCCTCCGTGTATGCACGGAGCGACGTAGGCTTCAGAGTTTCCTCCACTCCCGTTGAATTTCCGTGTGTGCCATTTTCCGCGTTGTTCAAACCTGAACTTAAATATTTAACGTTTGATTCCGAATTAAATTCTGATTCTGGTGAAGTTTCAGATATAATAGTCGATTCCGTAGTCTGAGAATGTTTAATAGTACTGACGTCAATATCATCTGCAGTTTTAAGTTTTAGATTTGGTTCTGTTGGACTACTTGCGTTCCCGTGACCGTTTGTGGGAACAGACCGTGACGCATTCTCTGGAATAAAGGCATCAACAACCCGCGTAATTGATTCAGCATTGTCAGAGGGATCATATGTATCCAAGACTTTCAGTCCCTTGTCGGCTACTTTTAAATTTACACTTTCGCCTATCTGTGTCATGGACGTTGCTTTTGAATTATCTGTTGTTGGTTTCGGAGTCGTTCCTCTTCGTCTGTTACCACTCTTCGGGATGAATCCAGTCGTTGCATTGTCGGCAATTTCAGTCACCAGAACGATGTTCTCCCTACCATCGTTGTCTACTGGATTTGTCACCTCGTCTGCTGACGTCGAACTTGGTACATACGGACGTGGTCTTCTGCGTTGGCCTCTCTTTGGGACGAACGTTCTCCGGGGATCGGTATTCCGGGTAGTGTCAGCAGTCCGGTTGTCCACTTTCGAGTCGTCAGGACTTCGCAATTCCACTGCTTCCTCCTCTGGTACTGTCGTCGACGTCGGTCGATATGGACGAGGTCTTTTCCTTTGTCCTCTACTTTTATGGGAAAACGTTGATGGGGTACTTGAAACTATCGTTGAGACGGAAGTTGATATTCTCCTGTTTTTAAAATAATCTACTCCCGGTTTCCTTCCTGAACCTTGGCGTCGTCTATTGCTAAGTGGACTAATGGAAGTAGGGGGTTTGTCTGTGGAACTAATGTCGTCATCTATAATAGTTGTTGATTCGGCTTCTTTCGAAGTAACTGAAGTGACCATGGGTTCAGCATCTGAATCCGTGCTGACGTTACCCAGCTTGAAGCTGCCTGTGCTGTTGTAATAGTGAGGTTTTCCAGACTGAAGTTCGCCTTGAGTGTCTATGGCATTTTCGTAGTACTGTGTCTCCGATGGAACTCGTGAGGCTGTGGGCAAAGTAGTGAATGTCTTGCGCGAAGTATCAATCGTTGGACTCGCGGTTTGGCTTCCACCAAATACAGTCACGTATTTCATACGAGACACTTCGCTTACTTTGTCCATGGTTTTGTCCGACTGTTCGTCAACTAGCATCCTTTCAGTTGTTTCATTTCCAGACAACGCCCGTGTATATGCAACTGGCAACTCTTCTTTTAGGGTGACGAGTGTTATTCGATTTACCTCCATTAACTTTTCGAGCGTATGATCTGTGGGTGTAGTCACTGGAATGGTGTTTTGCTCCACTGAACTGTTGGTGATGAATTCATGCTCGAAAGAAACTGTCGTCGTCGTCGTCGTAGTTGGACGAAATAATCTCTGATCAGCGGTGACCGTCGGATGTCCGTTTTGCAGCAGTGGACCGGGATACGACGTCTCTCCTCTCAGAGCGGCTATTGCTATGTAGGGAACTCTGTTTATGGAAATTCTCTGGCGTTCTGTAGTACCAGATTCTGTTACTGAAGTAATAACCCTCGTTACTGTAGGAGTGAATCCAGTGGATGTTGGTGGGATTATTGTACTTGGAACAGATGGGCCCTGTGACGTCGATTCTGTCAGATCCATAGGCGTCGTTGGGGGAGGATTTATTTGGAAATTAGGATAATTGTCTGTCCTTAGGGGCAGAGTCTCAGCGGATGGGGTGCCAGTACTGCGCACAGCGGAGCCACGTCTCCTGGAAATCCAATTACTGTGCTTGTACGTCGGGATAGATGTTTCTGTTACAGATGCAGGAACACCCGGATAATTAGAAGGGACAGTACTACTAATGCTTCTGGAAATAATGTCTACATATTTTGGGTGATTTCTGTCAGGTGTGGTGGGCACGGATGTTGTCAGTGGGGTGTCTTCGGGAATGGAGATCCTAGCATTGTTTGTGCTACGTGTTCTACCAGTACTAGATACCTCTACGTCGTGCGGTTGACGTGCTGCTAGGAGGGAGTCAGTAAGTGGTTGAAAAGAAGATGAAATCTGTGGCTTGTCTGTGGTGATGTTATTGTCGTGGTTTGTGTTTTGTCTTCTGGTGACGCTGTTTATTTCGACGTATGGGAGTGGGTTAAGAGACGATATGGATGCCGCGTCTAGTTCGACTCCCGGCGTGGTGGTCTGACGACGCCTTCCAATGCTCGTCACATCCACGTACTGTGGGTAAGTGCTTATGGAAGATTCTAGCTGTTCACCTCCTTCACTCACCTTCAGCCCCGGTTCCAAAGTTGCCCTCTCCAGATCTTCACCTCGCCTTCCTTTCAAGTTCCCTCCCTGTTTCTCTGTGACAGCTGCTCTGGTCGGTGTCACAATCTGGATTCCCTCTTCAGGTTGTCTCTCAGTTGTACCTGTGTATACTGGACCGATTTCTGTCGCATCATCTTGGACCTCCAGATC